TGGAAATAGGGTATTAAGGAGGGTACTTTTGACAGACTTTGTTTCAAATTGGCATCCCAAATATCTAGCTACAGATACGGGGTAATAAAGTGGACATGTACATGTATGTAAAAGTAGCTGCACAAATCTAGAGTCTGCTTATCGTGCATTTTATAGAATGAAACGGGATAGTAACTTTGGAGCAAAATACTATAGAACATAAATCGGTTATACAAATATTAACACTTGGGATGAAGAACAGGAAATCTGAAAATTAATGAATCGTCATTGATGAGAAAAATAAAAAATCACATCATTTTATTCATTAGGTCATTTCATTGTGATGACGAGTAGGTGATTAGAATTTCAAAATGTACCCAGGAGAAATCTGCCCAGATAGAAAGCTTGTGACATATATTTACATTCAATATCATGCAGCACTTTACAGTTTTCTATTCTTCTGTTTTATTATTTGTTTAAATTTCTCCTTTTATTGAGATAACCCTATGTTAGTCTTTTTTTCCTTCTGTTTTCCTCTTTCTCTCATTTTCTATGTTATTCCTTTTTTATTGTCTACATCTTTTTTCTTATTTTTTCTGTCCTCGCTTCATGTTCTCTTATTTTATCCTTCTTTTATCTTTTACTTTAATATCTTCTATTCATATACTGTTTTTTTATATTCTTCTTTCACTTTCCCCTATTTCTGTCTACATAGGATATGACTTTTCACTCAGTTTTTGTCTTCTATCATTGGTTCTTCTCTCTTTCCCTGTGTGTGCCTTTATTTTTCTCATTTGTATCTAAACAGTTATCTTTGTTCTTCTTCCTTCACTCATTTTCTCTTTCACACCTTTTTCGCATGTATTCTTTATCTTAAATGTTATCATCCTCCATGTTTACAATCAACTATGTTTATCTTTATTTTCTCATTCATATCACCTCATGACTGCGAATGGTGGTCATGTTTTACATAAAAATGTAAGAAAACAAAAATGACATAAACTCACTAATGCACAGAGAAGTTGCCCACTAATACCTTCCATTTTTTTTATAAAGAAGAAGCATCCAAAGGACAGGAAATCATTAATAATTGGGGATGTGTCAATTTTGGTGGTGGCCTACCTCTTTGTTGAAGCGTACTTAAAAACACCAGAAAAATCTCACAAATTAAAAAATATAAATCCTTTTCACGATTTAGAATCTTATTTCCATACAATTCCATAACTTGGATCTCTGTCACCTTGATCAAGTGAAATTTTGAGGCTTTTTTTTTTGGGGGGGGGGGGGCTGGTGATTTATTTCCCTTGTCAAAACTCACACACAAGTTTGAGAATACTCACAGCAGTTGTACTCCACCATAGCTTTACAAAATGTACCTGTTGAAGAGGCTTCAATATGTCTTGTGTTCTAGTATTAATAGCAGGGATTGACCATTCATAGATATATAAATGTACATGAGGAAAAAATTATTCAAAATTTCCCTTCAACTCTGAAACACAAAATATGTACGTGTAGCATAAATTACAATACATGTATGGGTTGAAGAGTCCCTGAATTGAGTTTTTTTTAAAATACAATGTAAGAGAAACAGAATGGCAAAAGTTTGAAATAAATCAGACCAATACTAAGAGTTATGAATGTTTGAAGTATGAGATCACTAAATAAATGTGAATCTCAAATTGGCAATTTGGTACATTCATGTAGACATTGATAACTCTTCTGTTTGTTGTCTACTTCACCTCTGAAACATACATGTAGCATAAATTACATTACATGTGTGAGTTGAAGAGTCCCTAAATTGGGTTTTAAAAAAAATACACTGTAAGAAAAAGAGAATGGCAAAAGTTTGAAATACATGATGTAGACATGTATGGATAACTCTCCTGTTTGTTGTATACAAAACATAATCTTAAGTGCCTTCTTCCTTGTGGAAATTATCAGTTTATTTACAGGTCCTCTTACGATATAAAGAACCTTCTGAGTCATACATGTACATGTTTTTTTTCTTTTTCATTTACATTTTAGTCATTCTGTGTGTTGGAACAAATGGAAAAGTTGTCCGCCACTACATCCTATAGACGTTACTGATTCAGCCAATTTGAAGAGCCCATACCTACATGATTTAATGATTACAAATTTACAACAAAAATGTGTACATGTAACTTTGTCACTTTTAGTCTGATTTAAATTTAAATCAAATTGTCCCCATTGTGCTTCTTATATTTGTTCAGCCTTCCACTGGTAGTTTGCTAATACTAGAGAATAAGGTGGATTTCCCTTTAACATATATATTAGGTATATTAAATCTTCTGTGAGAAGAAAGATTATGGTGTCTGTTTTTCACTATTGCAGCAGTGCAGTGGCAGATCCAGATTGGGGGGGGGGGCCGCGGGACCCCCTCACTTGGCCCCATAAACAGGTAAATTTAACCTTTTTTTAGATTTAAAAAAGACGCCCCCCTGGAGAAAGGGGGGAGCAAAGGGGGCCGGGGGTGGTGGGTGTTAACTCGGTGCTCAACATTTTTTCACGAATTGGGCCCCCTTTCAGCCGGCCCCCTCCCTTTCTGCAGACTGGATCCGTCCCTGCAGCAGTGAATTCCACTACAGTCACATAAAGGTCCCAATAGTGTCAACAATTAATTTGGATAAACTTGCATAAATTTGCATAAACTTCCATAAATGTGAGTGCAACCAAGATGATCAATTACAGAACAGGGACAACCAACAGCTTGTTCGCTAGACTGGTTAGAATAGCCTTAGGGCTAGGTGATAACATGAAATATGATATGGATGTCACTAAGCCTTAATTGGCACCCATATCGAGAGTGACACACCAAATTGCTATCCCTCCAGTATCAAATATTTACATTTTTTGTTAAATGTTTGTATTATTTTAAAGTGATTTGTATGAGAAGAAAGAAGAGTTTATATTACTAGTCCTACAGTATAGTAATACTAATCATACTAGTATTAACAGCTACCACCAGTGGGTAAGGTTATTTTAGTGTGGGTACTTCTAGTGGTTATTATGAACAAATTTGAATTTTTGTTTTATATCAATTATCAGTCTTGATAGGGGTACGGGTATCAATTAAGTGGCTCGGTAACATTGCCTCAGATTCTGAAGAAAAAAACTCCTGGATTTAGCTCATGCTGCAATCATGATTACAAACATTTAGGTCAGTCAGGAATCCCATGACTTTACAAGCCGATTGCCTAGCTGTCTGATTATCCAGATATTTATGATTGGAAATCAAAATTTTATTTTTTGTTTACCTAACAGTTTTTTATTACATTCATGTACACTACAGTCTTTTGGGGAAAATGAGTATGGTAAAAATGGTAACTCAAACTAACAGATTTTTACTTCTTTGAGGCATTTCTATCATGATCATTTTGAAGCGCAATTTTGTTTAGGGCTTCAATATTACACCATATCACAGGCACTGATAACACGTAGGGCCATACAGCTCAGATTGAATATTATTAAATGATGGGTATAGGCCAAGTGATATCAATGTTATTAGATCTACAACCTGCATCTAGCAGCTACCATGAGCTGAGGATGCATGATGACACCGACAGTAGCCTATACGTGTGAAAAGTTGATGCACATGGGTCATATGGCAAGATTATTAAGAAATCTGATTTGAACGTCATATGCTACCTTACGTAAAGTCCACGCCTAAAATGCAATCATTAGAGTCACAGTTTTTGATATTTTATATCGTATTCCACCCAGGCCTGCAGGGCAAAACCACTCCAGCAAGGCTAGAGTCAATTAATGCTTAGGCGTATTGTCCTCTAGCGCTGTTACATGTACGTGCTGAGAGGCAGCAATAGCACACGATGAACACATTGCACACAATTGCACACTAATGCACACAATGTATACAAAGTGGTTGATTAGCAAGTTTGACAGTAGACTCACGATTTGAATTTTTGAATTTTTCTTTCTAGTCTAGATCTATATGACTATAGACTAGATTCTAGATCTCTAAGTATAACTATAACATAGACCTAAGTTGAAAAAATTGTATGCTATTTAGGTATCATCAACTCCCGCCCCCCCCCCCCCCCACTCCGAGAACGGATGGACCCCATGCGTGTTACCAAAATGTCCTTTTCGTAACAAAAGAAAAAGGTCGACCCGTATTGACTTTACACACCGGACTTTTGCTGAAAAAGGCTTGTATAACAAAAGAAAAAGGTCGACCCGTATTGACTTTACCCCGGCCCCCCCCCCCCACGCAGGGGTCGGAATGACCGCATGCGTGTTACCAAAATGTCCGGTAAAGGGGTACTTTTCGTGCGACAAAGTCCGGCCCGAGAATTGTAAAAAAAGGGGTGTATTTGACTTTTCACCCGGAGATTTCTTTAAAAAGGGGGTGTTTTTTCTTTTTTTCTCTCATCTCTTTTGACTCCTGAGAAATTATTCTGAATTTAGGGGGGTGCATTGAGCATTTTTCCTGTTTTAGGGGGGTCTCCAAGGCAGGAAAAGCCTGTGAAAAGCCCGCGAAAGGGGGGTTCGAAAATGTTGGCAGTCCTCAGATAGGGGGTGCTTTCAAAAAGAGGGAACGAGCATATGCGTACCCTAAATAACACTGAGTGGGGGGGGGGGGGGGGGGGTCAGGGACTTTACACACCGGACTTTTGCTGCAAAGGGGGGGGGGGACACGCATATGCATACCCTAAATAACACTGAGTGGGGGGGGGGGGCGGGCATCAACTATCACTAAAGTACCGATTTTGAGTGAAATCAGTTGAGTTTTGTACAGTGTAGTTTGAAATGCTGAAAATCAATATGAACAGTTTTTAATACACAGCTGCACAGCCAGGATAGTAATGCAGCTATGTGTGGGCAAAACCAGGGACATGGCTCGTGATGTCCACCAGTCTAGGTATCCTGCCGGGCGGGAGCGGCGGGCCCGGCGCACCTGGTAGGGCTATTATTTCCATTTGAATGTGCAAGTTAGATTTATTTAAAAAAAGAATAAAATACGGTGTTACTGTAGAACCTACCTTAATCAGACGGATGGGCACATAATAGAGACCTATCTTGATGTCAGGCTACTAATGTGGTCTAGTTGTTTCAGTCGGGCAACCGTGTTCGTGAAAGAGAAGAAAGACAGCTGCACGATGCGATGGAGAGTTAGCTCGAGAGCGGGCTGCCGTCGCGTCCGGGGCATGCATCGCAGGCGGTCAGATCCGAGCTTCCAGCGTGGCCGTGGATGCGCCAGATTCAGAGCGAGTGCTAGTTTCTCGAAACTGCCATAAGTCTAAGCTCGTGGAGATTTGGTAGAAACACGTGTTAGATCTCTATCACACGTTTCAATACGATGTCTAAAAAGTTAGACTTAATGACGGTTTCGTGAAACCTCCCCAGGTGTTCGGTGTCGGGGATCTGGGCAGCGTTTCATGAAACCGTCATAAGTACAAGTCCAACGACATCCCATTGAAATGTGTGTATTAAGTTTAACACACGTTTCAATGGGATGTCGGTGAACTTGTAGTTATGACGGTCTCATGAAACGCTGCCCAGATCCAGTGGATGCCTGGTACTGGGAGGCGCACGCCCCCCCCTTTTTTTTCTCCCGAAAAAAAATGTGTTCGCATACATATTCTGTTTAAGCATTTGGATAGGCCTCAGAATCTGCCAAAAGGCTAAGATTATCCGGGGACCGCATCCAGTTGAAGGCTTCATTCTCGCAATTTCGTTTATTTCTAGCTTCCTCCCCCCCCCCCCCCCCCCTCCCCTGTAAAGTCTTTGATCTGCCCCTGGATGTATGGCCGGGTAACCTGGCGCTACAGTCGTTTGTAGAAAAAAATGTTGCTGGGCGCTGTCGCCTGGTTAATGACTCTAACCACAAAAAGTAGGTCTTAAAATAGCGTTAATGACTACTGGACGCAAATCAAACACATGTTGGATGTGATACAAAAACGGGTCAATACATATTGCATCATTTTTCCAAAACTGGTCAATGACTTTAATGTCGCAGCTCGTATCGGGTGTACAAACATAACAACTTGCCACCTGTCTATGATGACCTTTTTATACAGAACTCTTCTATGGCAAGAAATATAAGTATAGCTAAGACTTTCTTACAAAAACGGAAAGCCTTCAATTGGCCTATATGTTATGGAGTCATGTTCCACCTGATATAAATTGTCCTTTATTGTATTCATTGAGGCTAAGTTAAGGTTATTCCTGATACTCAAGTAAGGCCATCATTATTTTTTTTTAAACATTCACGGAAGCACTCCCCCCCCCCCCGTCTTTGATATTTTCTCCCTCTTCTTTCTCGTTATTGGTACCCCCTCATCATTTGACTTTATATTTACCTTTGATTGTATAATGTGTTATTATTATTGGGGGGGGGGGGGGGTAGTCCGACTACCCTTTCTACCTTTGCTGATTTGTTTCTATTTCAAACATAACTTGGAGTCGTTTTATTGCATGTATGTATTTGATTTTATGTATTTTCCTATATGTTTGGCATTTGTGGAGAAATACATTGAATTGCATGGAAGTTCAATGGCCTGCTTTCAAAAGAGTATGTATACAGTATATGTATAAGTATATTACCTACTTTATTAATTATTAACAGTGGGTAGGATTGTTCATGAGGATGATGAGAAGAGGGAGGGCATAGTGATGTAGACTGGAATTGAATGGATAGGGGATAGTGGTGGTGGTGGGGGTGGCGTTATTGGAATATAAAGGAGTGTATATTACCTACTTCGTTTCCACGTACCCCCCCCCCCCATCCACTAGCTCTTTACCCGGGGTGACTACATCAGTATGCCCACACCTTCATTTGTATCACCCTAAAACAATCTATAGTAAATGAAAAAATGAACAAAGTAGGTAATAGACACTAATTTGTACCCCTTAACGCCCCCCCCCCCCCAACAAGCCCCTAACCATCCAGGCTACATGACTTTGCCCTCCCTCTTCTCATCTCTCATCACCCTCAAACAATCCAAACCCACTGTTCATTGACCAGAGGCTATAGGCCGCGACGTGGATCTAGTCTTCGTATCGTAAACGCGCCTGTTGTGCGGGTGTGCACGGTACAGGTTATTCTGGTTGAATAAAATTTGTGTCGAATAAAATTTGTGTCGAATGAAATTTTTGTCGAATGAAATTTTGGTCGAACAAAATTTTTGTCGAATGAAATTTGTGTCGAATAAAATTTGTGTCGAATGAAATTTTTGTCGAATGAAATTTTGGTCGAATAAAATTTGTGTCGAATAAAATTTTTGTCAATGAAATTTGTGTCGAATGAAATTTTTGTCGAATGAAATTTTGTCGAATAAAATTTTTGTCAATGAAATTTGTGTCGAATGAAATTTTTGTCGAATGAAATTTTGTCGAATAAAATTTTTTGTCGAATAAATTTGTTGACAAATACAATTTTTGACGAACAATGTGTCGAATGAAATTGATGTCGAATAAAATTCTTGTCAAATAAAACTTGTCGAATATTTTCTGAAAGTGTCGAATATATACATTTGAGTGAAATATATTTTTTGAAAGTGTCGCATATATTTATTTGTTTCCCTAAAGGCGTGCCATACAAGGGTGTATTCCTCTTTTGTTATGTACATAACAAAAGAGGAATACAGCCATATAATGATACTGAGAATCATGACGCCTACTACTTTGAAAACATTGAGAATGGCTGTGTAGAAAGACATATTGCCCCCAGGGGTAACATAAACTCACCCTTGACCATACGAAATTTGAAAGGAAATGGACATGAGAAAAGCACCTAACTAGGAATAACAAGCACTACGTGCAAAACGAATGCGATTTTCTGACGAAGATAAGAAGAATATTTATGGGGCAGAATGTGAACGAAAACAAGGCAATGACGAAGGTCGTCATTGCAATAACATGCAGCCTTTTCACACACAGCTAAAATTCATCGTATCTAGAGATGATTAGTATAAACGTGTTTAACTCAACAGTTTTAAACATGTTTATAGTAAATTTTCCCTGTGTGAACATCGTTTATACGATGTTGGGATAGATAATAATTTTACCCCCCCCCCCCACCCTGAAAATGATCTCCCCCTAAAAATTACCCAACTTATTATCGGGGTTGACTTCCCCTTTAATGAACAGGGGGTATTGTTCTTGGTTGTCCCGGGGGGGGGGGGGGTCAATGTCCTATATAGGGGTTAAGTTTCAGAGATGGGGGTAATCGTCATCGGGGGTAATTTTCTGGGCGTAGTTTGAGTCGTCGAGGGGTAATTGTCATTTGGGTAATTATCCTTGGGAGTAGTTTTCTGGGGTGTAATTGTCCTTATTATGATAGGCGAATAAGGTGGGAGGCCGGGATTGAAGCCCCCCCCCCCCCTCCCCCCGAAGAATGTTGCAATGATGTTTGGCCGTTCGTTCGAGCAACCGACAATTTCGGGTAACGATGTGGTCTATTGATTTGTAATTTAATGTAGGCCTACTAGTCATGAAGTTAAATTTTGTGACAAAATTAGATATGATTGATATTAAGAAATGCTTGAAGTTCGGTTCTCCGACAGTGATCCCAATGACAAAAAATAGGTCCGGCTTTTAAAAAAGTTGCCAGGGTTGGTATAGATTTGCAAAAAGTTTGTATTCATGTTGTGTCGCCTTTTAATCCAGCGTCGTGGCTTTGTAGCGAAAAGAGTGCTTGTTTATAATACGATACAGGATGTTTCTTCGATTACACCCCTCCTTTTCCCCATTTTTCTTTTAGTCTCCCTCTTCAATTTTATATCCTTCTTTCTTAATACTTCTATGCTTTAGGCTATAATTATTTTTCAATTTTTTTTTCAATTGTTTGTGTGTTATCTAATTTTACCAACATGACCAACATGAATCATGACATTTTCGCTGCCATAAATTTCCCTCAGTTGACTGTGAATAAAATAAATATAGGGGTAGAAACTAAAATCCCAGTCTGTTGTTTCATGTGAAATAAACCTATATGAATAGCTATCGAAAGAGTAGTATAAATAATACATTAAGGGCATACGCCTGTCAGGCCTTTCAAATTGCTAAGGTGATTCTTACGTTGTTAGTTTTGCGAAAGTTTTATGGCGAATAAAAGGTGAACATTTTTCATCTCTATCCATAACATAAATATCTCTCGGCAATAAAATGAATGAATATTGAATAAATATATAGATGAATGGATGAATTTAACATGTAGCATTATGTAGAAAATGTGGGGGGGGGGGGGGGGGGGGGGTGGGGGGCAGTGGCGGATCCCGGGGGGCCCGGCCCCCCCCCCCCCCCCCTTGAGAAAAAAAATCATGTAAAATCACGTGATTTTTACCTTTTTGGGGGTTGGGCCCCCCCCCCCTGGCGCTCAAGGGGGGGGGGGGGGGGCAAATTGAATTTTTTTTGAGGATCAAAAAAAAAAAAAGTGTGCTCACCCCCCCCCCCCCCCCCCCCCCCCCCCCCCCATGGAAGTGAATCGACGACTTCGTTTTCAAGATCATTTCGGAAAGTTTTATCTTTCAAGTTGAACTATTATTATTGAATGCATAAAATACTGCATAATTTAGAACAACTAGAAAACAAAAAACACAACAACTTGAAGTCTTGAACAAATAATCAAACAGGAAACCACATTTGCGTCACATAGGCCTACCCTAAAATTGTAATGATGATGATTAAGACGATGTCGGCGATGATGATAATTCCTATGACGAAAATGCTATGCTTTTCCAACCAATATCCTAAAAATATACGCTAATTTATTTTTTAATCAAGATTTGAGAGATGTCGAGAATAATTTGCAGTTTAAAAAAAAAATTAAAAAAATGAAGTGCCATTACTCTCTTTCCAAAGTGTTTACTTTAATAGTGGTAGTTTTTTTTTGACAAAATGTTGTTATTGTGGATTTTTTTTTCTTCCCCTCTCCCGATTAGCGATAGAACACTGAAGATTTGACTGAACACATTATTAAAACATCATAGACAAGTCGCAGGATTTTCCAAAGGCAGTAAAAAATTGTTTTTCCAGATCAGAAACTGATAAATAACAGTGCACTTGCATTAGGCCTACAAAGGCAAGGGAAGAAATAAAGAAAGAAATATCAATTATCAAAATAACATGTAGATCGAATTCTACTGGGAAGCAATTTGATTTGGCCTAACGTGTACCCGAGATGTTTCCTTTTTCTATACTTTTGATGCGCGCCCACCATCGGGCGGAATTAGGGCGGGTCTAGGCGGAATTAGGCAAGGAAAATGCCTCACGCAGACGGCGCGCTACGGACAATCGCTTATGATTTCGGGCGTAAGAATGGCATAGCTAGATTTGCTAGAATTTCGGCAACAAATTGGTATACATTAGCGCCTGTATAATTCCTTTTCAGAGAAGTTATCTGAGAAAAACTGCCCATCGGGCGGAAACCGGGCAGGGTACGGTACCGTATGCATGTATTATGCACACATGTTTTTTTTCCTATGCGGCCGCGTGCTGTGCAGGGCTTTTCGTGGAGGCAGTGTAAATCTGGGAGTGCAATTTA